CAGTACTAAAGAAACCAGTAAGAGTATTTGTGAACTTGCCACATACCCAGTAAGTCACACTTTTCAATTATTTCACACAACAATTCTTTTAAACAATATTTAACAGAAGATGAACTTGAAAAGGTCAAGTAAATCCTCCATGACCACACAGCTTAGAAATGCAGGAGGAGGATTCAAATCCAAGCCTGGCTCCCAAGCACCTGCTCCTTAAGGAATGCTTTGAATTTGCTGACAAAAGTCTAATAGAGGAAGGTAGAAAGATCAACAGAAGTATACATTTACTATTTGGACATTTGTGTTGAATTATAGCTTAAACTGAGTTTCACTAGTTAGTACCAAATGATGGCAAAGTATATTTTATATATATAGGTTGAGCTTTTGATGGATTTTTTTCAAAAGTAAAAAATAAACCTCAAATGTTTTTGCTTATAACATTAAATATATTTACATATATGTAATATATTGTGTGTGGCATGTTTGTGTGGTTATACATGTGTTGAATGCACAGGTGGAGGCCAGACGCAAACCTCAGGTGCTGCTCCTCAGGCATTATCCACCCAGTTTTTCTGAGATGGGAGTTTCACTGGACTAGGGCTCACCAAGTAAGCTAGGCTGGCTGGCCAGCAACCTCCAGGGATTTGCTTTGCTCTGCCTCCCCAGTGCTGGGACGGCAAATCTACACCGCTATGCCAGGTGTTTATTACATGGCTTCTGGGAAAAAATTTTTACAGACTGAGCTATCTCTCCAGCCCTAAATTTGTATTTTTTATTAAATTAGCAAGCATTATTGATTACCTACTATGCTAATTGTAATGCCCTTATTTCCATTCTATACAAAAAAAGAAATTTTTTTTTTGTCTTTCTAAGGTTAGAAAGAAAATCATAACTGACATGCTACTGAGTTATTACTGACCAGAGAATTTGCAAATTAATAAAATTCAAGTGAAGTAAGACTACATTTCTTTTTTTAAAAAGTATTTTATTTATTATTTTTACTTTATATGTATGAATGTATTGCTTGTGTGTGTGTAAAGTGCACCTGTGTCGAGCAATTCCTGTGGAGGTCAAAAGAGGGCATTGGATTCCCTGGAACTGGAGTTACAGATGGTTGTTTGCTGCCATGTGGGTGCTGGGAATGGAACCTAGGTCCTCTGCAAGAGCAGCCAGTGCTCTTAACTGCTGAGCCAACTCTACAGCCCCATGGGTCTGTATTTCTTAGCAATTTTTGAGCTTTATCTTTTCTCAGAAAGCTCATCTTTACATCTTAGGTAGGAGCGTAGAAAGAGGTCTACTTAGCATAAGTTGAAATATTTGGTCATGGATCAAACTAACACTGTTAAATGATAGCTACTTAAAAAAAATCTTCCCCTGAAAAATACGGTTTCAAATAAGGTAGAATTTTGACTCGTTAGTGACTCATCCCATAATGTGGAGGTCTACCCTCCTTCCCTTCCCACCTGCAGCACCATCCTGGGCTGGCAGAGTTCACCTGGGTGAACAAGACTCCTCATTTAAACAAAGCAACAGTAGAAGGCATTGGCCTCCCCTTCTCAGGGCTGCATACAGCTGTGTAGGTCTTCCTTAGGAGCATGAGCTGAGGAACTCTCCTACTCCTGTCCTTGGAGAGAGCTTGGTACCATCTGGGCAGTGAAATCTGGGCTCCTGAGTGGCTTAGGAGCTCCAGAGTGGCATGTACTATTCCTGGCTATGGGAGCTGTGGGTAGGAGTGCTGGAGTGGGGTACTGGAAAGCTGGTGTCCAACGCACAGGCCACAATTTGCCTAGTCTAGAAGGCGTATAGCTCCTGGTGTGCATGGCTGTGGTGACCCTAGCCAGGCATACTGCTAGGAGACGAAGTTCAAGGAAAGAATTACTTCTTCCTATCAAATACTAAGGGTTGCTTAAGGCCATCTATCTTGTTAGGATGTTTCTGGAAGCTTCCCAGCAAGTCTTGTAATCCGTCATTTTTGTCTTTGCCTGGGACTCACTTGTCAAGATGTAAAATTGAAATCATTAGCTGACTCACTTATTTTCTTTTTCCCGCATCAGTTTTGGCTACCTGGATGATTGTAGAGTGTTTAGGTCTTAGTCTGGACTTCAGGTATTTGCTGTTTAGCCTCTTTTCTTTTGGAATTATAGATTTTGTGGAATAGATCTATAGAGTCATGATTTTGTCTGAACTTAGGAGCTGAGGGAAGATATTCCTTTTTCATTCTGCTAAACACCAAATTGTATTTGCCTTTATGGAAAAAGACAGAGTTTAACCACTGCTAAGAAAAGCTAAAGTGAGATCCGAGGTAGGGAAAGGGACCTTACAGGGTCTTTTCTATGTAATAGTTCTGGAGAAATGTTACTGAAGACTCTTAAAAATAAAATTTTATTTTCCAATTAAATAATAATTATTTCATTCATAAAGGAGAATAAATTCTTATGTACTTATGTTTCAAATATAATTTTGAGATAAAACCCCCAATGTGTAATGTATTTTTTTGAGCAAGGTAACTTGAAAACAGTTAAAAAACAAGCTTGAAAATCTTTGCTTATGCAGTGCAGGCTTTTCAAAAGTTATTTTTAAAGGCTGAGGAATTAGGCACCTGTCATTTCTGCCATCTGGTGAGGGTGTTAAAAATGACTGTCACTCTTCCCCTGCAACTCTGTTTTGCACCTGCTGCTACACCAGTTACAGGCATTTCACACATGGTAATTTAATAAGGTTAGGTCCCATGACGGTGTGCCAGAAGCTATCCCATGGTGGTGGTGGGGTTTAAAGCTGTTTTATAAGGTCTTGAGGGGAAAGCATTATATACAAAACTTGAGACTAATAATTTAGATGTCATGTTTTTCTGATTGGAAAAAATTTAAAGAAATGTAGATGATAAGATATTAAGTAAATATCCTAAAACAAAATTGAGCCCTTTGTGATTGGACTGAATGTAGCAATTGTTATCTCTACACTGTGACCTTAATATTTTTTAAACCTTTAAAATTTAAAATTTTGGCTGGGCATGGTGGTGCATGCCTTTAATCCCAGCACTTGGGAGGCAGAGGCAGGCAGATCTTTGTAAATGTGAGGCCAGCCTGGTCTACATAGAGAGTTCCAGGCCAGCTGGGGCTACAGAGAGACCCTGTCTTTAAAAGACAAAAAAAAAAAATTAATTTTGGGGATGGAGAGATGAATCCACAGTTAAGAGCACTGGCTGCTCTTGCAGAGGACCAGGGTTCGAGTCTCAAAACCCACATGTCATCTAACAACCAACTGTAACTCCAGTTCCAGAGGAATCTGAAGCTCTCTCTGACCTCCACGGGCACTGCACAAACATGGGCACACTTACATACATGCAGGTAATGCACTCATACACATAAAATAAAAATAATAAATAAAAATGTATTTAATTTAAAATGTAAAAAATTGACAGTTCATACCTGGACCTTTATAACTTAAAAAATGTATTTAATTGCCTCATATAATAATTAAAAATAAATGTTGAGAGTCACACTGTTCAATGCGGTAGTCACAAATCACGTGTGACCATTAAATTCAAACTTTACATAAGTTAGAATGAAATACATTAAAAATTCAATTTTTTGGTCACACTAGTCACATTTTAAATACTTACATGGGTGTGGTGGTTCCCACAAGCGGACAATACTGATACAAATTTCCATTTTCACAGAAGGTTCTATTCAACATCCTGTGTGACATTTCCAGTTTTTGGTCTTAGGTAACTTGACCTTAAAGATCATGAGATCATATTCCTTAAAAATGTGATTTTAATGTCCCAACTTAGCCACAAAACACAGGTTAGTGAATGGAACTGAGTGACTATTTCTAGATAGAAGAAGCGTGTTGGCCAGAAGCTGCCGACGTTTTAAAAATGTTTTCTCAGCTTCCTAAAAGGTACTTTTGAGGGATTTTGCAATTCCACGTTGCAGTCATATTTCCAGGGAGGCGGGGACAGCTCCTTGGCACTCATCTTTCTGCTTTCAGATCCTGCTATGAAAAGGTGTGTGGAGCATATTCTAAGATGATAAATAACATTTACTCTGTAAACGTTTCTATTTAGTTTTTCTTCTTCATGCATCAAAAGACTGAATTGAGATTTGGGAACATGTACAGGGAAAGTAGAAGGGATCATAGTGGGAGGCAGCATTAAACGGGACTCTGAGCGCCTGAGAAATAATCCCATCACTCTAGAGAGGTGTTAAAAAAGCAGCAGCTAAAAGATCACTTTGAGTTTTATCTTTGAAGTCGTTAAGAGAGATGGATCAAGGGCTTCAACAGTTTTCTAACAGGCCCAATTGTTACTAGAAAGGAAAAATCAAAATGTAAATAATAATCTACACAAACCTGAAGAACCCTGCTTTAACTTTAAATTGCCTACATTAGCCTGTTAAAACGTCCCTGCTCAGTCCTCTACTACACTTCTCAAACTGTATATGACTCTATTATTCAATCTGTTTTGTAGGTAGAGCACCATGATTGTTTTTTAAAGGCTTTTTCTTACATCTATTATTAACTTCTTATCATTATTGTGTGTGTGTGTGTGTGTGTGTGTGTGTGTGTGTGTGTATATACACGGGCACATGCCATGGTGTACATGTAGAGGTCACAGGGTAACTTGGGGGAGTCTGTTCTTTCCTTCTACCATGTGGAGCCTGGGAATTTAACTCATTCCATCAGGCTTGGTGGCAAGTGCCTTTGAGTACTGAGCCATCTCACAGGGCCCTGCAATGTTTCTTTATAAATTTGTAATTCATCTGTACTTTTTTTTTTTTTGGTCTTTTTGGGACAGGGTCTCCCTGTAGCCCCAGCTGACCTGGAACTCACTATGTAGACCAGGCTGGCCTAAAACTCATAGAGAGCTGCCTGCCTCTGCCTCCTTAGTGCTGGGATTAAAGGCGTGCGCCATCACATCTGGATCATTTGTAATTTAAAAAAATTAGTCAAAGTCTCAAAAGCTATTTCATAAAGCAGAAAAATAAAATACAATACAACTTGAATATTTCAGACTGACCAAGATTGTTTATTGATGTGTTTTTAAGGATAATTTTGACCCATGTAGGCAATAAAGGTGGTGCTTAGATTCGAGATTGTCAACATTTAGTTGTTTTTCCCCAGAGCAGCTCAGAGAGTACATCTCGGAGAAAAACTTAAGACATAAAAATTCAGGGAGTCCTTCATTCTAGAATGGTCCAGATTGTTTTGATCTTCTGAGTAATGGTAAATATTTCTAGACAGTTAGTCATGGGTGTTCTTGAAATAACATATCAGCCAGTCTTCCTAAACAGTGAATATTCTATAAAGGAAAAGGGAAACAAGTTAGATGCTGATCATATCTCTTTAGAAAGAGTACTCAGGAAAAAATAATGTGAAGTGCAAAAGAAGAAATGAGCCAACACCGACAAGGTAAGCATTTCTTTGCTACAAGAACCTGGTTCCAGGTACTTAACTTAGAACTGTTACAACAAAGTTTTTTTTAGAGCACTGAGTGTTAAAAGTTAATTTTGCTATTTAAAGAACTTAGGTCCATGCTTTTGGTTGTGTTAAATGCCAACTAAATTAATTACACTTTGGTTAATTGAAACTGCATCGCTTTGTTTTTATAGCATTCAAATGATAGGGTTTATGGGTAGAGGCAAAAACTATAAGATTTTGCTTGTGTATTCATATAAATATGTCACATTTCTAAATAACTTGTTTCAACAGGATGGTCTAGTATGGTTACTATAAGTAATTTTCAATTAGGAGCCAATAGTAATTATATCTAAGGCATATAACAGTGAGGCTGTTTTTTAAAATACAATATCAGCTAAGCCTTGCATAGTACAGAGGGAACAGGTGTATACCTAACATATTACATTGAGAATAGGTGTATACCTTACACATTACAGAAGGAACAGGTACATACCTTAAGAGCTCCATTTAGATAGACATGATGTGTTTGACGAAAGCTGTCAGACAGTATAGATGTTGAAAGTTAGAAAGCAGATTTAATTGCAAAGAAGTTCAGATTTGTCTTCATAGTCTAGATGACTGTCTACTTATCCCAACCATATTACTGAAAGATTATTCTAGGTAATATGTTTATAGCAACAGCCAAATGTAGAATTTATTTATAGGTAAAAATGAGTTCTAATTACTATTTCTAGTGAAGAGCTGCTTGGCTGAATACTTTTTCTCCTCCCTTCCTTTCCTCTCTTTTAGTTCTGTTTCTTTTTTTCTTAGGCTTTTTCTAAATTTGAGACCTTTTCTGTCTATATTTGCATCAAAGCTGTCAACATAGATTTATTGGAATGTGGTTAGTCTTCTTTGGGGGAGATAAATGAGGTTTATTGGAAATATTTAAATTTCTAAATAATATTGTACAGCTTTAGTGTAAATATTTATTTTGTGTGTATATATTGATTTCATACCCTTTGGATGAAACTAATGTAGACTGATAGCAGAAAATAAATAAATGGCCGCTAGGAAGTGATTCTTATGCTTCTTTCTCTGCATTCTCCCTTTATTCCTCTCTTTCTTGAGTCTTACTCTGTAGCTGAGGCTGGCCTCCAATTTTTCCCCCTCAGCCTCCTGGGATTACAGATGTCTGCCACCATACCTGGATATTAAATGATATTCATGTGAACTGGAAGACTAGACAAGGACAGCTGAATTTTAGTGCCGGTCCTGCTACAAATGATTTGCCCATCACTAAGTAACTAAACCTCTTGGACCCTCAGTTTCCTCATTTTCATGATTTTTGTACTAGTAAAGAACTTCACAACCTCCTCGACTTTAATGTGCTATTAAATTTGATTATAACATAAGTCCTTTCTATCCTATCTTTTTGAAGATCTAGTGATACATGTGAAAACACGTTAAACTATAAGACGCTGCATGGGCTTGCTAAAACACACTGGAATTAGTTTCATATATCTATTTGAATCCTCACAGGACATCTTAGAATTATGCAATTGATTCCTAATAAATCACATGTATCAATAAAGAAGTGGAAAACAAGTTAAAATTGAAAAGGAGTCCATCTTCAACAAAGTCTGTTAGGACTTGCTGAGAGCCACAGGTGCATGCTGGCCTAGCCCATACCGCAGTGCATGCTGGCCTACCCTCATAGTTAATGCAGCCATTGGAGTCTTCCTGGCCTGCCATCAGGGCTTCCACTTCTTCCTCTTTCATCTTTTCACCTGATGAAACAAAACAATTATTTTTAGAAACAATGTCACAGAATATTTTCAAAATCCCACCACAAGTAGTTGGTCATGCACTCTTGAAACTGTGATTGAACTTTTGGAGAACAAACACTGTTCTTTATTATTCCCCATAGGCTCTCAGTAGACTGCTTTTTGAATTAATGAATGAAATGCACATTATTCCTCACCATATCCCAAACCATATCCTGTAGGAACCACAGTGCTTTATTTCTTCACTGTAAATGGTTTACATTACCACTTCACCCCCAAACAAACTTGCTGTTACAGAGGCCACTTCAGACAGCCATTGACCTTTTTTTTTTGGTCTTTTTGAGATGGTCTTCCTGTAGCCCCAGGTGGCCTGGAACTCACTATGTAGACCAGGTTGGCCTTATCTCACAGGGATCAGCTTGCTTTGCCTCCCCAGTGCTGGGATTAAAGGCATGCGCCACCATGCTTGGCTCACCATTGACTTTTACCTATTCCTTTTTCATTTCTCCTATGCATTCTTTCCTCTTGGCTATTTTGGCTGTGGCGTGATTCTCCTGTCATTATCTTTTCTGTACACTCTTTCTTACCAAGTTACTGAAATGAATTCTCCTTACCCAGGGTAGCTAGAACATGGCGTAGTTCAGCACCCATCACTGTACCATTGCCCTCCTTGTCGAAGACACGCAGACCCTCAACAAAATCTTCATAGCTTCCCTGGTCCTTGTTGTTGGAAATAGCTTGCATCATGGGCAGAAATTGTTCAAACTCGATTTTCTTAGCATTCAGCTCTGGAAGAAATTGCAGTTTGCAGAGTTAGTAGCTATAAAATATCATCTCTGAGTCACAAACCAAATGCAAATATTTATTTCTGATTGTCTAAAAAGTCTGAGCACAGCTTAAATGTCAGTTGGCAAGTTTCTAAAATGACAAGAATATGACTTCTGCAATCCCAGTGGCCTTTATCCCCAGCCCACCATTCACATTCACAATAATGTATCAGTGGGCACTGTGGCTAATCACTTTATTATTATTTTTAAGATAGGGTCATGCATCCCAGGCTGGTCTCCAGCTCAAACTCTAGCTGAGAATGACATTGATCTCTGATCCTCCTGTCTCCACTATGAAAGTTATGAGATTATAGGCATGTACCACCAAACCTGGCTCAACTTGGTTAACTGCTTTGTGCATCACATTTTCATTTGAAAAATAAAAGTGCTGCACAGTGTTATTGTGAGAATTAATGAACAAAATGCATGTAAAACTTGTTAAAGTACTTGGGACAAATTGATTGCTTAATAAATTTCATTAGTACTGCTAATTTAATATACTCCATAAGTACTAAGGAAGCAAAATAAAATTACTCATTATCATATAAATTTAGTAAATATTCCTCCTATGTCTGGGATTTTGTAGAGTCTTCAATTTCTTTACATTTAAGGTAACTTTAAAAAGAAGCTCAGGAAGAAAGAGTATGTGAAACATTGTGTGATATCCTGACTTCTTCCTGATTACAGAGATGGTGGATTTTCTTTAGTATTAAAAAGGTACAATATAGACTGCATATATATATATGTATATATATAAACATATGCGTGTGAAATGATATACTTCTTAAATACAAACTCCCCTCTTTTTTCATGGAAATCGAACACATTAAGTAATACTGGAAGGATTACATTTGAGTGATGAATAAATGACCATTTGCCTAATAATTCCATTAATGGTGAATGTTGCTTAGTGATACAATGACATTTAGGAGCAATGGTGTCAGCATGCACGAGATCCATGCAAACGCAAGCAGACAAAAACCCAGCATAGAACCATGGAAATGAACAATAGGCCCCAATATAATTCGAAGAACTATTGGACAGCTGATTACTGCTGGGTGAGGAAGAGCTGATCTTCTTTAAGGGAGTGACTCTAGGTAGGCTGATTAGACACCAGTGGACGAACTTGCACTGAGGGATGTCTGGGGACACTAACTTGACTTGATAGGCCTTAACACAAATGACAGAATTGCATGAAGTCTAGTGGAGGGAGTTATGGGAGGGTGCCGATGGAAGCGAGTTTAATGATGATTAAGATCTTGTGTATGGAATGTACAAGAATTCAATAAAAAAGAATAATGCTTAGCTTACTTTTTCACACTATCTCCCCCTCTCAACAGCTCTCTGCAGGATTTTACTGGTCATATGTCCAAAGAAGACAAGAGAAAAATTCCCATTGACTTATATAGAGGTATGTTTTTTTGAAATAAAGGCTCTTTATTTTTATTTTAAATGAAAGAAAATACTCCAAACATTGTTAGCTATCAAGGAAAAATACAAGATTATTTGCCTCCCCTTTCAATTTTTTCCCTAATGGTAAGAATAAACAATCCAAATATGTACTTGAGAAACCCTTCGTTTTGTGTCCTGTCTTCCTTGTTTAGAGTCATATTTTCCAATAGGTTATTATAGTTTTCCATAAGCCACTGGGACTAGAAGCAATTTCCTTGTTCCGGACTAAAGACTGAATCTTTGTACCAAGTGGATGACTTCTGTAATTTGCCACTTATGTGGTTGTTCCCTGATCTTTGCTCCAGGGTTTAGCTGGGGAAAGTAAATGCAGGTTTTGTTTTAGGATCTCAAGGTTTTTTGACATAAAATTGCTTGGAAAGAGAAAATACTCATTAAGATGCGAATCTGTCTATTCTTAATTAAGATAGCGGAGTTCTTTGAAGAAGGCCACTGAAGCAACGTCAGAGTGCAGTGCACTAGACAAGGTCAGCGGGTGCATTTCAATCACTTCAGAAAATGCAACTTAATTTCCACAGTTGTTTATCAAAGAACAGATTTTCTCTAGAAACATACCATCATGATTTATTCAGAATCACATACGAAGTGTCTTGTGTTCTAACCATAGTCAACATCTTTGTCAAAATGTACTGTTGCTTTTGAAGGTGTGAATGCTGAGAAAAATGTGCTTATTCAGATACTTCATTAGCCCTGCACACTAGATCCAATGCTGAGGACAGGCAATACCATTTCATTTCTCTCCTCTAGTGTGACATTTTATCATGCTTACAGATGCTTAAATGAAGGTGAACTTTTATGATGAAAAAAGCTGAGGCTCCTTAGGGACAAGGGGAGTAGCGGTCACTATGAGAAGCAAACTGAGCCCTAGTGTGTAGAGGCCCCCCCATCTCCATTTCCACAGATCTTAGAGGAGTTTAGTTTACCTTCATTACTAGGGTTCCCGAGAACCTTCTTGACTTCTGCATTGGTGGGGTTTGTGCCCAGAGCCCGGAGGACATCACCGACCTGGCTTAAGGTGATCTTGGATTCTCCTGTTCTGTCAAACAGGAGAAATGCCTCCTTGAACTCTGAAAGAAGCAAGGAACATTAGGGACTTTTCTTTTCTTTCCTCAAACCTTTTAAAAAAATATTTTTATTATTTTTATTTTATGTTGTATGAGTGTATTTTTTGCTTGTGTGTAAATGTGCCGGTGTGGTGCAATGCCGCAGAGGTTGAAGAGCCGGTCAGATCCTCCGAAACTGGAATTGGGATGACTGTTAATGGCCATGTGAGTGCTGGGAATTGAACCTGGGTCCTTTGCAAAAGGAAGCCGGTGCACTTAATTGCTGAGCCATCACTCTAGCCCTTCTCAAACTTTTTAATTGACCCTAGCTCCTTCAAGGATTTAGTTCAAATTCTTTTACAACTTTTGCCAACCATTGAAGTAGTTATCTCCACTTCCCCTCTTGCCCGATACCAAATCATTCCTGGAAAATCCTTTGGGCATTTCTTTTGGAAATTAAGCCCCACTTTCAGTTTCAAGGTACATTATTATTAATCAGATACGGAAACTGGAGCTCCTAGTTGTATTTATTCATATTTCCTTCACCTGTGTGGGACGCATGACTGGCTTCAATGATCCTGAAGTCTTGAGAAAGTTAAGAATCTCCCTATAGTCCTTTAAATAATTAGCAGTGTTAATACAATTTCAAGAAAACAAATTTCCAGTTCGGGCCATTTTACAGGAGTTTAATCTAAACCTCTCAAATTACAGAGAAAAACCTTTTCCCAAGGTACAAATTTCAAAGCCTGTCCTCTGAATTAATTTCCTGCAGAAATAACTCCTCCTTTTTCAGGAAGAAATTAGAAGGGTGAGGCAAGCTGGAAAGTTTTACAATGCCATTCAACCACCTCACTGTCTAACTCCAGGAGCTCTTACCGTGGTTGATTCAGAACTAGACATATTTTTTGGATGAACTGCTAATATAGCTTCATATAACTCCTATTTAACTTCCAAAGAATCCATAGGACAAAATGTTAGCCTTGTAACTTTTTTTTTTTTTTTTTTTGCCTTTTTGAGACAGGATCTTCCTGTAGCTCCAGCTGACCTGGAACTCACTATGTAGACCAGGTTGGTCTTGAACTCACAGAAATCTACCTGCCTCTGCCTCCTGAGTGCTGGGATTAAAGGCATGCACCACACCCAGCTCAGCCTTGGAATTTACAAAAACATTTTTAATTAAAATTTTATGGAGATAAGAGATAATTATAGATTCATATGTAGTTTAATAGATAATACACACTGGGCTTGGTAGTACAGCCTTTAATCCCAGCACTCAGGAAGCAGAGGCAGGTGAATCTCTGTGAGACTGAGGCCAGCCTGATCTACATAGGGAGTTCCAGGCCAGCAGGGCTACAAGCAATAATACAGAAAAATCCTTTAAATCCCTGCCTAGTTTTCTCCAGTGATAATACTCTGCAGAGTCAAAGTCTGTTAATGCAACTGGGATATTCCCATTGACAGACTCTGCTGCTTTTATTCATATCTCTGTGTGTGTATATGTACTAAGAGCATATCTGTAAGTGATGTCTTTCCTCATCATGATCACTGTACTGGTTACTTTATGTCTTGTCATTCTAGTTTGGTAGAAATGGCTTTTTCTTCGTAGTTATCACTATAATAATTAGAAATGCATATAAAAAACACAGGAAAGGGAGCTACAATGGATTTAGGGATCAGTAAAGGCATTTAAGCAGAAACATCTAAATTTAACTGAATGAAAAATTTTGTCAAACCCAGAAGTACTGATGGTGATTTACTTGAGTTAATCTCAACAACACTGAACGTTTTGTGAATGAACTATTAGGGATGAAATCATTCTTGTTAGACTACCAAGGGCCACCAATAAAAATGTGCTGTCTTTATACATTACTCAGCCCAAACATCCTATCTTACTATCCCCATGCCCTTTAATCTAAGATTGAGCCGGATATTATCTATACAATCAGCTATAGGTCATGTTACTATTCTTTGCTAAAATTCTTTACAATTTGACCATAATTTTCCCAGTCTTGAAAAAAAACATGTTTTGAGTTTTGTGGTATTACATATTATTTATATATTATTTGTATATTATCACAATTAGGCACATATTATTTTTCATCTTTCTAAAAGACACGTGAAATTGCACTAGTTTTGTTACCAGATCCTGGCTTTCAGGCAGAGTGTTCTGAGGACTGACAGTCAGCCTGCTAAGATGCTGATGCAGAAATAGGAATTTTATCGCTGTAATGAAACCACTCTGACATTATTCCTTTTGGTAACTTAAAGCAGAAGCCAGAGAAATAATTCTTTTTATCTTGGACTTTTAGCCCAAGGCTTAGTTATTCCCTTCAAGGCTCTAGAACACAGACTGTCGAACTCCTTCTCAGGGGATGCCTGCCTGGATATATAAAGTGTGATTATAATCTAGTCATGCCCCTTTGTTTATGTGTTGTATATGGTCTTTTTTTGAATCTCAAGGACAGAGTGGAGTTGTTTTTACAGCTACGTTGCAAGTGAAGACTAACGTTTTTCCTATTTGACATTTTAAAAAAATACTTTCTGATTATTGGTCCAGAATCACACTGTTTTAGAAATTCTTGGTAATGGTGAAATTGTTCTCCATCTGCCTACTAACTGTGATTTTGAAAATTTGCATGTGACTAGTGATCTTGAAGATATGGATTTTAAAATTTATAATTTTTAAATTAATTAAACTTTAAGTAGCCATAAATGGTTGATGTTCATGCTACTGATAGTATAAAACCTAAACCTTCAGAATGCTATAATTTTCCTGTTTTCTCTTTCCTTAAATCTTATTTTTCCCTTCATTTAAGTAGAACAGTATGAACAAAATTCTCTAATCCTTAAGCAAGGAAACAAATTAAAGTGATCTTGATTCATTTCTTAAAGTGCAGTATTTCTACATAATTTAAATAGCTTACATTTTTTTTCCTGATGCAAAGAAAAATTCCAGGCCAATATATCGTTTACTCAACTTCTGTGTCTAAAACCCATTCACCACATGGAGTTTCATGTTCAACACAAAGTACATCTGTCCTTGAAAGGGTTTTTGAGTCTCGCAATGCTTATTCTAACAGTAATTTGGTAACTGTGGTTAGGAATTGGAGAAGGTTGGGATAGAGGAGCTGATGATGTAGTTATATTACCAGTTAAAAGTACATTAAAACAAAATAAGTTAGAATTACCATTTTCCTCAAGAAAAAATCCATCATAATATAATTTTAACAATCTTGAGTTATAAGTCATATAATCATCTCATCTGTCTGCATGAGACAATCCACCATGATATAGATGCCAGTGAGTCTGTAATAACCTTTTGCTTTTAACTCTCATCTGGACAGATTCATAACCAGCATTATACTGAAACTGACTAAACAATGTGGAAGCTTTGGGTGGAGAACTAGTACTAATCACCCATAATTAGTTATATCTTATATAGCATAATATATTTTATTATGGCCAACCTTAGCACATATATAACATCATATAACTGAACTGTTTCTGTCTCTTCCTTCTATAGATGTATTTTGCTCAGTTCATTCATATTATTGTGATGATTTTGTCCCATAAAATATTTCTTCCCATACTTCCTAATTAAAAAACTAAGTTCATTTGGGATATGGGCTCTGTTGAATCCAAAGACACAAAGGGAAAAAGATTAAAGTTTTTTTTTTTAATTAAGGAAGCTATAGAGGTTCTCTTGACTCCTAAATGTTTCAGGATTCATTGCTAGTAACCATTTATGAATGAAATTGATAATCAGATAGAATTGATATTGAAACTAGTACTAACTACTAATTCCTTGGGTCCTTGAGAAAGGCCTATCACCCAACACTCTAGGTCTCCATCCTTCATTCTTTCAAGAAGTGCTGGATCAGGATTCTTCTTCATCAATGAATTTACTTTTATTTCATAATTCTCTATGATTTCCTTTGAAATTATTATAGATTTAATAATTGGGACAGCTTTGCTAGTCAGTTTTATTTTCCAGATAGAAAAACTTTATTAAATTTCTCCCTAGGGTTTTGATTAGTGAATTTGGCTCTAAAACTTACATTCTTTTGTGAGATATTGTGGATGGTATTTCTTACTGTGTCAAGTTCATTTTACTTAGAAATCAGACTTATTTATGGTCTATCTTTTATTTTCTTAAATATTTGATTACTAACTATAAGCAAGGGTTTCAGCAATATGGGTTTATATTTAGAGTGATTGAGAGCAATTTATATTTAGAGTGGCAATACCAGTGTGGCTAATTAGGCAGATCTTGGCTCATTGCAAGGGAATTGGTTTTCTTACATACCATCTTCATGAGTCTGCACATATGAACAACTATAGCTTTTACACTTACCCTCTTGTTGTTCCTTAGAAAACTCGATCTGTTAGAAAGAAATCAATCATAAAAATATTTTAAACAGACCAGAGTGTCCTGATTTATAAGTGCATCCAGTTCGCTCCCTGAGTAATCGTCAAAGTAAGCTCTTAGAAGTCAGCCTACTTTTCAGAGTTCAGGCATAGCGTGGACACCAACAGTCTGAGCCACAAAGCACCATGCTGTGGAGTTAAGTGATGTTTCAGAGAATAGGCAGTATTTTGCCTAAGGTAGAGAAACTCAAATCACTTACCCGCAATCTGGTCAGCACTGAAGGACTGCAGTGGCAAGAGAGAGAAAGAAAGAAACAACTAGTACCCTTTCAAATGCATTGACAGAACGAGCACTCTCTGCTGAGACCTTTAGGAAGCCATGTAGGTGGCATAGCAGAAAGTGGCCTGAAGGCACTTTTGAACCTAGAAGCATAAAAATCTTCTGCAAAAGATAATTAGGAAACATTTCTCTGTATCTTAATGAATCAAAAAATGTAAAAAAAAAAGTGCTAAATCAAATACTTCCTAGAATGGCATAGTAATTTATAATGTACTTAACATACGCCTGCTATGATACACTATATTTAAAATTGAAGCTAATTATATATAAAGAGCATCTTAAGTCTTTATGTTTAATTAATACATTTTATACTGGTATATGCTACCTAAAGAGCCAGAAGCAGCTTAACTTTAGCTATCAGTTATCACTGGGTTCTATTTTAAAGCATAATATTTCGCTATAGTTGCACTTTTCTTCCCTTCTAAGTTTAGATAAATCTTACGTGAGATAGCAAAAGCGTACTAGACTGCTCTGGGGAGGAGGATGTATTTTTCCATCTTTTGCAATAACTGGAAGTAATTTCTTCTGTCTTCACCATAGCTCATCAAAACGGAGTAGATTCCAAAAATGTGTACTAGATATGTTCTGTCCCCCTTTCTATTCCTTGCCTGTCTTCTTAATAAACTCCTATTTACCAACTTATCCTCCTTTAAACGACAGATAGTTCTTAAAGGACCCACCATGGTGGAGTTCTGGGCTGCTGAATAGCAGTGAAGCTGGAGTGAGTTGAAAGCAGCTCCAATCCCTGAGTGGAGGCCCCCTTCTCTGGCTTCCTTTTATTTCGGGGCAATCTGACCTCACAGCTAGCATCAGGTTTCATGGGGCAGTTGCCACTCCTCTTGGAGAGTTCTTTAGCTTTCTTAGGGCAAAGAGAAAGAGGGATCTGTACTGTGAGGGCTATTTTTAGGAAACCAGAACCAAGGAGTGAACAGCCTTACTGAGACTGAAGCCTGTCAGTACTTTTATGGTCTTCATCTCTGAGGTGTGCTCTCGCCACAGCATGTCTTCCTTTTAGAAGTCCCTACTGAGCCGGATGTGGTGGGGCACACCTTTAATACCAGCGTTGGGGGAGGCAGAGGCAAGTGGATCTTTGTGAGATCGAAGCCAGCCTGGTCTGCATAGCAAGTTCCAGGCCAACTGGGGCTACAGAGAGACCCTATCTCAAAAAAGAAGTTTCCTCTTTGCTCAGTGGTAGAAGAGCTTAGAATTTGTCTAAGGCTCAAGCTGATCCTTTCTTTTGGTGAATTATGGACTTTGCAAAGGTCTAGTCAGCAAGTTTAGATGTTAATGGAACTTCTTGGATGAAACTGGGTTGAGGTTTCAAATGGCTACTGGTATAGAAAGAGGAGTCTCTAAAGCTCTGTCTCTAGGGGAGAGGACTTGAAAAGGCCACGCATGTTCTGCGTATTCCTTACGGTACACCCATGTGGCAATCTAGTTAGGTTCCCAAATCTCCAATTAAAGATTACTCTTTTGCAATCTGTATTGCCAGCAGTATAATCTAAACAAGGGATGATTTTGGGCTTCACTTCCTGTCACTCTCTCTTGGTCTCCTGACACTAGGTCTGGGTATGTTACTCCCTCCCTCTTTCTTCATGGTGGCTGACCAGTTATATGTACATATATATATATATGTATATATAATCTTCTGAAGTTCTTAGTAAGCAATGAGAATGGATAGACCATTTTTATATTCTTCTTTTTCTTCTTGTGCATACTTTTTGAAAATTTTATGTAAGTTCCTATTAGCCCAGGATGCCTTGTCAGACACTTTGCGGCTCATTCTGTAGAATGAGAACAAAAGAATCTAAAGTAAAGCTTATGGAGTGCAAAACTGTACTTTAAGGGTGTGACCAGTAATCGGCATTTACGGCAGCTCATCTGAAAGTAAGGGAAAACTGGAATGGTTTGAGGAAAAGTGGTACTGAAAAAGAGCAGTTCCAGGACATCCACTCAAGTTCAGACAAGATGCTTATTTTCTGCAGTAGACTGGAGATGCATTTTGACTCTGGTATTGTTTCTGCAACTATTTTTAAGGAAGATGTTCATAAAAAGATTGAAGGTCCTCCTGTTAGAAAGATGGATTTTTTTCCTGTTTTTGGAAAGATGGATATTTTAATGCTCACCCTCTAACTGTTCTGGAAGAAACAACCAACATACATATGTGTGTGTGTGTGTGTGTGTGTGTGTGTGTGTATGTGTATTTTATTTTATTTTTAAAGTAAGCTACATGTATGTATGAAAATGTCACAATGGAACCCCTTATTCTGAATAATTGTTAGATGCTAATAAAAACGTTAAAAAATGTTTATTACTTTCGAGACAAAGTTAGCAAGTTAAAAAAATTCATAGGCTTTTGTGTCTCCAAATTAAAAATAATATAATTTTAAAATAAGTAGTACCTAGGTAAGCGTATTTATAATCATGCTTCAGGTTCATAAACAGACTGATAATTTTTTTTGAGACAGGGTCTTTCTGTAGCTCCTGCTGGCCTGAAACTTGCTATGTAAACCAGGATGGCCTTGATCTCACAGACATCCACCTGCCTTTGCCTCCTGAGGGCTGGGATTAAAGACATGTGCCATGCCTGGCTTTTATGCACTTTTTCAATTTCATGCAAATTTTCAATTTGAAAACTTTTTCAATTTTCAAATGTATTTTCAATTGGAATACATTTAGGCATTTATGTATTTCTATTACGAAATTTTGAATTACCCTGTTATTTTATTGGAAGCAAGTATGTATAATTAGTAAAGCTAGTTACTGTAAATGCTAAAAAAACTAAACATCAAAGTTGACCTGCTATTCATAGTAATAATTTCATATTTCACTTTTTTCAGGTTGAAAGTGTGTCCTTGCACACACATAAAATATAATCAATTTGTATAAAATACATAGGGTAAACTGGAGAATCAGCATAAAAGTTAAATTTAATCAGGCAGGCATGGTGGCACATGCTTTTAGCCCCAGCACTCGGGAGGCAGAGGTAGGTGGATCTCTGTCAGTTCGAGGCCAGCCTGGTCTACATAGTGAGTTCCAGGCCAGCTGGGGCTACAGGAAGACCCTGTCTCAAAAAGACCATAAAAAGAAAAAGGAATTAATTTTTAAAAAGTTAAATTTGTGTTCTGAATAAGCTATTCTTGACCACTTAGATATCATGTAAAGTTTCGTTTCTATTAAAATGACAGCGTAAAGTGGCAAACAATTGTTAAATTATTTCACCTTAGTTTTTCTCCATTTCTTTATCTTATTGACAAGAGTCTAGATTTTTTGACCTACTGAAATTCAAAATATAAATTTAAACACATTAATTGGTATCAGGAAAAGCTAAGCTATAGTTAAGTCTAGAGAAGAAAATAAAGGTTAAAAGTTACATCTATATTGTGTAATCAAGAATACAGGAGAAATACAATTCCTTCCCTGGTAGACTTTTAGAAAGATGCCTCCTTTGCTACTTCCATGATTCAATGGGTAGATCATCAGCTCTTTGAAGAAAAGCAAGATATGATTACACAGTCAGCTAATTTGGCCCATTTGCTAGATCATCATTTGGTTTGTTTTTTGGATTTCAGTCTTTCTATCATGAAATCTGCACTTCTCTCCTTTTTGGACTTTAAATATTCTTCACAGTCCGGATAAAACTCTTCTTGAAAAAAATCCTTTCTTCTCTATATTGTACCTAGCTCCTTTCTCCCATCACAAGCTGATTAGCCTTCCCTACTTAACCTTCTGGGAAGCATAGGCCTCTCCTGAAAGACAGTTACCTTCCTGATATGAACCTGGGTATAATTCTACCACAGCATCTCCCCTAGTGCATTGTCCATGCCTAGGACTTAGGTTTTATCAGCTCTATAGGAAGCTTTCATTTATTAGATGCTCATTTTCATTAAATTCAAGCCATTAGAATGTTAATGTGCTAAGTTCCTTCTTTAAATACAAACTTCTCTAGAGTATTATATTTCCTAAGGACAGGAAGTTCACCTGCTCTTTTAAAGAGCTTCCATTACATTTCAGAGAAATTATGGGCATTCTTCTTCAGGCCTGCATCTATAGCATCCAGAACTTCCCAAAACATAGTGGGCATGCTCATTTTTAAATAATATTCATATTTCCGGCACCTTTTCTTAGATTTTATATGAACACTCATGGTCCAGATTTCTAATTTGTAAATGTCAGTTTCATTTTAAGAATATTTTTATTTTCCTAGCTTGTATATTTATCTTAGCCTGTTAGTAAAAGGCTGTATTTCACATTTTTGTGACTAATGGGTCAACAGTTAGTGTTGGGTTACGTAAGTAGTAGTCTACAGGATACTTCTACTAAGAAGAATTTTTATTGCAGTGTTGACAGATGCTTTTACACTTTGGCTTTCTACAAGTAATCACAGAGTTTGGTTAGCTTACTAAAGATAAATTTTCTAGAAAATAGAAAGAATTGCTTTGTAGGGAAAATATTACAATACTGTTAATCAAACAGAATCTAGAATTGATATATATTAAATTTTAGTATAGCAAAAGAAGAGGAGATATAATTAAAAATAATCTGGGAAATATATGATGTTGCCTATTAAGGGAAAACGCTCTGTTAGGGAACCTGGACAACAGTTGTCAAAAAGCTTCCCTATTCCAAGGAGCTAGAATAGATGCTAAATGAGTGGTAAGACTAAGTAAAGAA